GAAGTCGCTCGAGTATATTGCATTAAAAGCGAGCGACTATATCACTGAGCTATCGCGTCTCATCCTTTACATTGTGAATCCAAAACCTTGAGTCACAAAATATATCATACAATAATCATATCTCTTGAAATTTGTAGTGCTTGTAGGATTTCGTGATTCCGAACATATGTTTGCCATCCATATTTATATGTCATTTCCCTCGCCTGAAAAGAGAACGCAACAAAGTATATTATTATATTCTTTGACCGAAACCAACACAGAATTATAAACGTTTTAGCTTGTTATAGTAATTCATATTTCATTAAACATTTAAAATTTAAACAATTAATGTCTGCATGTATGTAAAATAGGTACCTATATGTTTGTTTATGTAAGTTTTTTCATAGTTAGCTAGATAGTGAATATAATGTATTAATGTTCAATCATATCATATTATACAGTTTTATTATGACGACTTATTGATTGACGCTTAACAATTAAACTAATACAGAACGCTGACATACAAATAAGTTTAAATTAACCATAAAGTTATTACAATATAATTATATAGGTAAGAATGTAGAGAACAGAAACTACCAGAAAAAATAATTAGTCATTAATTAGAAAATTATATGAACTAAGTTCGTGGTTAACTTAATGACAAAATAAAATTTGAGTCATGTATACAATTTTTTCTTAATTACCTACGTGTTTGAAGATAGATTGTATGCACTTAATGTAGCTGCTAGATTTGTTACTTAGGTACTTCGGGTTTTTAACATATCCAATATAACAACATTAAATCTAAATTAAAATAAACGGGAGAGTTCGAAATATAAAAAATGGCGGTAATATTAATATTATCGCGTTCCGTAATATATCCTACAAATAATAAAACACCCTATCTAAACATATCTGTTGAAATATATTTATACAACTATCTATTCAAATATCAAATAAGTACGTTGGTTGTTTAAATAAAGTAAGTTTGGAACGTTATAGGAGGAATTATTTTAGTTTCAATTGTGCCATTCTGGATGTACGTGTCTCAAAAGTGTTAGTCAGAACTCTAAAGGTAAAACGAGAGGACATTCCAACAATACATCACATTAACAACGAGACGATAGCGTGCAGAAAAGCTTTGAATTGGAGCAGACAAGAACTTTAGTTCTTCTCCAAGTTACGATTGTTTTGTGCTATCACACTACTCTTTTCAAGCTGTTTTCAACCGAATTCATAAAAAGAGGAGGGTCTCAGTTCCGATGTAGTTTTTTTTTTAATGTTTAATACCTCAGAACTCCGTCATTTATGAACCGATTTTAAAAATTATTGTTGCTTTGGATTTGCTTAAGCTTCCACTCAGGCCCATGACAATTTCAAATATATTAATGGCATGGCACCTTGATCACCAGGGATACATGGAATGAACTCATGGGTTACAAGAACTAAAAAACAAATAGAAAATGTATAGTGATTGGAGGGATATTTGAAATCGGTTTTGTTTTCTGTAGATTAAGATGTAATTATTTTTTAAAAATACGTTGCGGATACATCATTTCATATTTTTTTAACAGCCTTAAATACAAATGTCAGTCAGAAGCTACCGTAAAAGGGATTCCTGTTTTATAACGTGTAACGGAAGCTGCCGGCAGTGAATGCGTGTTTTGAATAAAAGATAAAAAAGTCAAGCATTGTCCACTTTTATTGTTGCACCCGAAATGAAGAAGCAATGTTTACCTGGCGCCGTCAATCAAACACCGTCGGTTTTTTACTGAAAGTGAAATCGTTAAAAGTAACAACTATTGTGTTAAAAACGAAAGTTTACGATATGAAAAAAAAAAAACCGGGACTATGACTATAGAATTGGAAATATATAGAAATATCAATGTCTTATAGCATTTGTACTTAGATAGGTACATATAAATGCTTTTAGCAATGTCATGAATATTAAATAGATGCGAAGACACTTTTTAACATAATTGTATTTGTCTACGGCTTATCGTAATGCCATGATTTGTATGAAATATGGGTAAGTTCAAGACGATCTCGTACCGGTTCGTGCCTACATTCGGAACTCAGTGACGGCGCTAATTCCATTTATTTATTCAGTCGATAACAAATATATTCCTACAATGTAGCCCTTCCGCGTTGTTCCACCAAAAAAGTTCTACTGATCATAAATTTAATTTTGGAACGCTTTTAAAATCGTTGTGAGAAGTTTGAATTTTTAATTTGAATTTACATGGACACATATCACACGTACTGGCATATAAAAGATACACAATAAAGGAGAACAACAGACGGGCAACATTATTAACGGAGCACCACCGTATCCCGCCGCAGTAATTGCCACCACACTTTATAAGATAAACCCTCATTCGTAGCTCGCCTGCAGGTGAAGAATGCAAAGAAACATCGTCGCGCCATTTAGATAAAAGCCCCTTTGTTCGGTCTGCATCCCTTGACGCCACTGGATAATAAACCACCTAGGCAACTCTAGTAAAAATTAGCCATTTGACCAAACTATCACGAGCATCTTGTATAGAGCGAGCCGTAAACCCTACAACGACTGCACTGAGAAGGGAATAAAACAACACGTTTGGCTTAAACTCAATCGCATTAAACGTTTCTCGAAACCGAGACGGATAAGTGGAGTTCGTCTGACGCACTCATGTAAGCTTTTGTTTTTTCAATCTCATCGGAGCCAATCCAATTTGGAACTAGAACTAACAGGCTGATATAATTCCAGTCACGGACGAATCCAATATCGGCATGTAAATTAGAAAAACTTGTAAATAGAGGGCGCGGCGGATGGAAGGACGTCGATCCCTGAAACGGGCGAATTGATTTCATTAGCATGTTCGCAACGCTTGGCCGTTTCGCGTTTCCGCGTTGTTTATCGAACGGAAACGAATAAACCCCCTAAGTCGTACGCGATGATGGGGCCGTCGTAAATCTCGAGCGGGGCCCGATTCTTTACGCATACCCGATAACGTTATTATCGCGTACAACATTGATTATGTCCAATATATTCGATGGATCCATCGACGTGGCGAAAGCGACGACGCACGTAACTCTCGACACGTGACGGGACGCGGCCTCGACGGCGTGACGTATAAATTTTCCGATCTTAATAAGCCCCCGGCTTTTACGGTCGCGGGAAATCCCGCGAAATATTTCGGTTCGGGGCAACGAGGCATGTTTACTAAAGGCCTTTCGCAAAACTCCGGCCGCGATGATTCCGATGCTAATTTAACAACACCCGTTTTCTTTTAAATCATAACATTCTCGAATTACATCGGGGCGATAACGGCTGTGTTCAGTTTAATGTCGGATCGCTTTTTGTGTAGGCATTTGCATAATTATTGGGTATGGGGGCTTCATTTCAGCGCCGGATCACTTTCGTCGAGTGTTTCTAAATTAAACGTCATCGGGAAAGTCGTTAATGTTTTATCTTTCGTAATTTTATCGTGGCATCAGTATGAAACTGCGAAACATTTTGAAAGAATAAAAGAGAGATGTTAGAAATAATGTATATTATGATGTCACACCATAACAGTTTGGGCGCAACTTATAAGAGACTTTATTATACCACCATGAGATTTTCTCTCCGTAATAATTTTCCGTTTTTTGTCGATATATCGTTATTTCTTTGCTTGCTTAAGAGTGATAAAATACATTTTTAAAGTAAAACATTACTTAGCTTAGTTAAATTACCTATAAGTATTAGAAAAGTTCTTAAAAATTGCTGTAAAATGTCAGCCTCGTAGCACTTAGGAAGGATAGGTAGAATAAGTTTTAGACTACCTATCGTATGTTCCTGTTATTTAACTGTCTTTATTGTTCTCTCTTCTTTTAAGAAGTAAGTTTATAAAAGTAATAAGAACCTAATTGTTATTTCTTTTTATATGGTGTTCTTGCAGATAATAATAAATCTGAAATAGAATCGTAACTCTTTTGTTTGTGCAGACATTCTAAATAAATTACGTTCGGTTTTAAGTATTGTAAATAGAAGGCCTTAAATAAATTTAGAGGAGAAAATAGGACAAGATAATTACACCCCTCTGCCCTTCGGCCTGCCCCCACACCGAACACCCTCGTTACAAAGTTTAATCTGTTTAAACTTTTATTTACTTCTCTTACGCCAAATTGAAGTGATTAGCAGACGGCCCTTTAACAGGAATTTCTGTTTCATCTTTGTTTAAATCGCCCCTCCTTATTGGTTGCCTTTGATATAAAATTTTGCAAATCCAATTGAGGACCATAATTGGGCTAATACCGTATCACGAAAATTGAAAATGAAACGGCATAAACAACTTGATCAAATTAGTTTGAGATAAGCTTTTACCGTTCCATGTATGTAATTTGCGTTACACGGAATTACCTTTAGTTGAAGTAAGAACAACTTATTACGGAAGAAATGCCTTAAAATCACTAAACATAACGTTGTACGTTATAATAACCTGTATTTTTTTTAGTTTTTTTCTATACCAGATCATTTTCTTTATTTTTTTTTATTTCCAAAATACATGATTTCCAAAAAAAAAACCGAGCGAAGCTCGATCCTCCAGGTACTATTAACCTTATATAAACAATCAATATTAATAAGTTAAATTATATATTAAATGAAATGAAAACGTATTATAATACGTTTTCATTTAATTTGCAGAGGTATTTTCATAAACTCCAATCGAAACAAAAAACATAACAACAGAAAACTTTTTCTTTCTAAACGCAGCCTTTCGATATATGCAGTTGCAGCACTTTGACCGCCATCTTACTGAACAGTCTAACCGAGCGGTACTTGTGTAACATATCTATCTCGCTCATATTCATGCTCGTCGTATGCAGCCATCCTTTTCAGCGCGTCCCCTGCATCCAATTAGGGCAATACGCATGCGCCCTATGTCAATGTCAAATCAATCTTTGTTGTACGCTGATGCAACGTGCTATAAATAATTTACGATTACTATTTATATAATGAAATGAATCATCAATAATTATGTATACTTTTGTTACAGGCTAACCGAAATATGTACGGGGAATGCAAAAACAAGGTACGTTTCAATTATTTCATCAAATTTTGCAATTAGATCAATTTCATCCGTTGCGCGACGTAGATTCATCGACTCTTTTAATATTTTAAAATTATTAAATAAATGAATGCAGTTTTAATTATTTTGTATTTATCGTGGCAATAAAGTGCTGGCTTTGGTGAAAAAAAAAAAAATAGTCGTTGTGAATTCCCGCGTTAAATATTTAGCCGTAGACCGGTAGCCGAGCGGCATATTTTTACGAGTGGCAAGAACGGGCTCATTACTATCTTATTACATACGGTGCGGGTCGCGATCGACCGAAACACATCCAATTTCCCAACTTCCCATTTATTGATATTGACTTGAGGACGCTCCGTGTATCTTGGCCTACGTGATATAACTATCTGGATGTGACCACTACCTTGGTTACAACTAACAATATGACAAGTTTACACCCCGACTTTGTCTGCGTTGTCTTCTCTTAACCAAAGAGTCATGTTATACATACAAGTTAAGAAAAAAGAAAGAAAGGAAGTTTCTTGTATTTACGCGATTACACATTATAAATGAAACTAATTTTACGGATTTATCGCGTTTATTTTTAATTTTAATTCCCGACGTTTCGAACCCTTTACAGCGTTCATGGTCACAGGACAGAACGTCTGTAGTTTCATTTATAAGCAGGAAGAGTATTATTCCAACATAAGATTTGTGCTTGACGTCTAATTTCAATAACATTGCCTCGAAACGCTAGTAGACAAAAGCAAACTAGCATTTTAATAATATTAAGTTTATTTAATCGACTTGGGGAGAACTTTGAAAAGAAATACGTCGAATATTTTGAAAGGATATACGCCTAGTCTAGCAAGAGTCTAGATAATTATAGTAGCTTAAATGTACCGCTGTGTGGAAAAAAAAGTAAGGGCCAGATTAAGTCACTTTATATGCTGAACAATAAGACTTGATGCATTTTAAAAGAAAAGCTTTGAATAACGGCTGCTTCGAAAAATCTACAACACTATCAGATACCAACAAACAAATAAAAAAAATATGTTTACTTAGAGGAAGTAACTGTGATATTCTCGATCTATTACTGCTATGACGGATCCAGTGTACCTTATTCCCATCAACCTATACTTGGTGTATCACTTATTACTATGAAACCCAAAGCCAGATAAGCATGGGACGTGACTTGCGAAAAATAGTCATGCTGAGCGAGTCATTGGGATTTGTATCCCGAGTGTGTTTGCCTCATAAATATACATTGTTGAGATCAAATTGATTAAGGAAAAGGAATATACGCGCGAAAAGCAAAAGTGAAACCAGTTAGTGTTGCTCGTGTAAAGACAAAAATATTCTAATGTCTTTCAATTTGTATAATACGACGCGGCAAAGAGTTATCGATTCTTGGTCGAGCCTGAAGCGCTGTTAGAAGAGGAAAAATAAGGAAAAAAAAACATACAAAACACGCGAGGGCCAAACGATACTTCTAATAATATGGTAATGCGAACCGGTTCCCACCGAACTTGATATCCAGAGCCGAGATTCCTCGGAATCGTATGGATACGGCCTAACTTGTGGACACAATGGGGGCTTTGTTGTTTTTCGCGCGATAAAATTTCCCGGCCCACGTATATCTTGAATCGTCTCGTACGTCAAATATGCTTGACGTCATTCATCTTAATACGTAACCCTACGCGCAACAAAAACAAATATACCAGTTTTATATTAAAAACCGTCAGACGTCCTTGCAGTTTTTTGGTGTTGGCAAAAAACGGACATAGCAGACGTCGATGCCTACAAATTGGGCGCGGGTCGGTAACATTGCGAAAAATTAAGGCGCGCATCGATTCGGACGCGGCGGCTTTAAATATGGAATCGCCCCCATGCAGGCGGGCCGCGTTTACGCGCGCAATTAACGTACACACGGCACGGCGGAATTGGAAACCCGTCCGTCGAAATGGTACACGGTCCGATACGAGACGACTAACGGCCGGCGTATCTCTGCGCGACTCATTTGCATGTCAATGACGTATGACGTGGGGAGATAATGGACACACCTCACTGCTCGATAAAGACTACAGTCGGTTGTGACGTCCGATGATTTTGATTTGTTTAAACGACGAAAGGTCTGACTCGCACAGCCCAGTTTACTGTGATTTTGTTACTCTATGAATGGGCGAACTTTGATTAAAAAAAAGTATGTGAAGATTAAAAACGAAAATCGAGAGCACATTTCATAATAAGGGATGAGGCCAAACCTTCGAGGGTAACTTTTCGAATCTCTCGTTCTGAAACTTTACCCGCTTCGTCGTCTCCAAATGGAATCCATTGAACGTAAAATCTTCTGTGTCTTGTTTTAAGAGCCCCGGAAGTGATTTGTCTTTATACACTTCATACGAAATACGAGTTTGCTGTATTTGTTCTATTTTTCTCCCTTGCCGATGTCGAAATCTGCGGAATACCAATTGTTTATTAATTTTAAAAGCATTTTGTACTAGAAGATGCTAAATTTCTATTTAACTCTTCGACAGTAAGAAATGAATGATGCACACATATATAATACATTGATTTACAATAATTTACCTTGCCTTGTTAAGTGAATGTAAGATCTAAACGCTGTAAGTAATGGAATTAATGCATTGGTCTAGCGTCGGTTTATCTGAAGCTCAAATTAATATCAGCATTAGATTAAGATTAAATTTGCTAGAGCCTATTAAGAGATAACTAATATTAGATACAGCGATATCAGTCCAGTTACAACTGTAATGTGAATCAATTTTAATATGATTTCAATCGGCAAATTTTTCCTAAGTAAGTAAATAACTCAAATTTATTTATTTATTTATTTGATACACCAACGAAATGGACACTGAAGAAATTTAAGTGTACACTACGGAAAAACATGTTAAGTGCCACTTCAATTATAGGTGTATACGACATTTCAATTAAATGTGGTATTTGCAAGATAAAAAGGGATAATTTAAACATTAAAAAACAACGATTAAAATAATACATATGAAAGGTATGGCCAAAACACATGCCATCAACTATTTCCAATGCCTTAATATATTTTTTTAAATAAATAAAGGCAATATAAAATAATTAAAGGCAATAACAAACTTATTTTTAATTACTATTTTGGTTGTCTACGAGCTACTTTCACATCCATAGTTTTCCATTTATTTACACTTAATACGGCCGTGAGGATTTAGCTACGAGTATGTAAGTCTAATTCGGCCACGCAAATAATTCAATCTTGCCAGCACGTACAAACTGGGAATGTTCGTAGACGGTAGAGTTAAAAGGGACACGAAAATTGGGAGTTTATGTGTAGGTAACATGGCAGGTATGCCAGCCGCTTGGAAACTAGCACCGGTTAGAATTTTTTTCCCCTCTTCCAATTAATGTTTACTGTCTGGCTGTATGTAAATACAACCAGCCATGAAGGATGTTACCTTTATTAATATTAAAATAAGTAACTACAATTAATAAATTGTACAAACAAATATTGTTGCTCGTATGTAATGTGTAGTTCTTTAACTAATGGAAACTCACAATTGTTTCTGAGTAACATTTGGATATTCATTGTGATTTCATCATCATTATCATCATTTCAGCCTGTAAGCGTCCACTGCTGAACATAGGCCTCCTCTAGGTATTTCCACTTAGATCGGTTTGAAGCGGCCTGCATCCAGCGAAGTCCCGCGACTTTAGACAGGTCGTCAGTCCAGCTCGCGGGTGGCCGCCCTACACTGCGTTTTCCAACACGTGGTCTCCACTCGAGAACCTTGCTGCCCCATCGCCCGTCAGTTCTGCGAGCTATGTGCCCTGTCCATTGCCATTTCAGCTTGCAGACCCGCTTGACTACGTCCGTAACCTTCGTTCGTCTGCGGATCTCCTCATTCCTGATTCGATTTCGCAGAGAAACCCCGAGCATAGCCCTCTCCATTGCCCGCTGAGCGACGCTGAGTCTCTTTAGGAGGCCAATAGTTAGAGACCACGTCTCGGCACCGTGAGTCATCACTGGCAGTACGCATTGGTCAAAGACTTTTGTCTTCAGTCTTTGTGGTATTCTGGACGTAAAGACGCTGCGTAGCTTGCTGAACGCTGCCCCACGGAGTTGGATCCGTCGAGTAAGATCTTCGTCATAGTAAATTGCAACTATTTTTACATCCAATGTTTCGTACATACATTAATTAAAATAAGATAATAAAGACCAAAATGGTTTAATCTAGTTTAATGTAATGACTTTATCTATATACTAATGTTTTGAGACATGGACATATTCTAAAGTAAACCCTGATAAAATTAAAAATAAAAATATCTATCGAAGATATTTGTAATAATTCTTTTTTATCAGAAGTATTTTATCTTGACTTCTGCTGTAAGACTTTAACGTCAATAATGACTTTGTTGGCGAAGTTGGTAAAAATTTTTCATCGCATTGGATCTTGGGTTCGATTCCGACTTTTTCATCGACAGGCATTTGAGTGACCTACAAATAATTGTTCCGGTTCTCGGTATTTGTTCTTGTTTAATTTTTGGTATCATTATTTTATACAAAAGTGGGGATAAAGTAAAAAAAATGTAACCAATTATGTTAAGTACCATCAAATGATTCCTACTTTTACAGGTTACGTAAAAATCAAAAATGTAGATATAAATTTCTTGTTTGAAAACTTAATATTAGGTAGGTACATGCTAACTTATATATATGTTTATTTATATATAAATTAGCAAGAACCCCATTAAACTACACAGTGGACATTACTATTGAGTATATAAAAGATGCTGTTGATAACAAAAAATTACAATAAAAGATTCGATATCTTTATGAATATTGGAAAACTTTATCAGTGATCTTGGTTGGGTAAGTCTTGTTAGGACGAAAAAGTTTGGAGTTTGTAATAGATCTGTTTGTGATCATTATTATCTAGACGGTTGGCCAGCCTAGTCAGAATGCCGTTACTGAGCGGAGGCCATTGATTGGAGATGAATAAGATTTCAGAATCAATAGGTATTTGATACATAAGTATATTATAGGTTTACCAAATAATTCCATTATTTAGTAACGTTACAAAATTTTCTACAGACACTTATAGCATTTAGTGATGACTAATAGGGACCCTAAACTTAAAAATGGGATTTTTGTTTAAAATCTACTACAGCCAAAAATAAATTAGGCTCCAGTGCTCAAAAACGTGTGCTTTGTGACACCGAAATTAGGTTTTCACATATAAGCCTTTTGTGAGAATAATCCCGAAACAAAATGCAACGAGTCCACGAAATCACCGGCGGGATTTTATGACGTCTCGTAATAAGCAGAGATAAAAGACGAACAATATTTGGGCGTGTAATCTGGAGCATCGGGATGGATTCCCGAAGCAGGGGGCTTTGCCCGTCTTATCTGAAACTACAGGTATCCGACGCGAACTACTCGGCGCGGTGGATGAGGGCGGAGGGTGGTGGATTGCGTGGAGGTGATACGGGCGCGTGTTTTATATTATTGAGGCCCCTGTGGCCTCCGGGTACCGTTTGCCCTGTTTACAGACGTGAAGCGATGCCCTCGTCCAGCGCGTTTCTCGTGGAATTTGCAGAAACGTTGCCGTGGAATATGCTCCGTCGTTGTTAGCGTCGCTACAGAATTTTGACCCTTATCTAAGCATTCCGCTTGAGCAGAATAAAATATATACTACTGTAGAACTAAAATAACACGCCACACTAAAATAAAATGGTACCATCGCAATATATAAATTGTACAGACAAAATTGCAAATCAATATTATTTGTGTAATTAGCTGCCGGTATTACAAAGGACTAGACTTGAATGAGTTAAACCTATAAACCGTAGCGCAAGAATTCAAATTACTGAACTATAAAATATGTGAAGTAATGTAACAATATTATTTTACTCTGGTGACTGAATATTTTGATTCGATGACGTCCATTTGCGGTCATTAACATCGGGTGAGCCGCCGGCACGCTTGCCAACTTTTCACCCAAAAAAGTAACTTCCATAATTATATTGATTGCAATATTGATTATGTAAAATTTTTTAAGAGCATTGTGTGTATTTTTAGTCAAATTTTCATAAGTTATAATTATATAATATATTTTAAAGCTTCAGTGTTTTTTCTTTATCAAAAAATTGACATGAGTCGCTGGCTTTCGATATATTCAGGGTTAACGTGCGAGCAAGAGTGCCTTACGTATTCTTTTTATGTCTCGCGTTTGAGTCTCCGGACCGATTTAATATGGAGCCAAACGTTGCAAGGGATTGGGTCGGCGCGATCCGTGGCGTTGGATGGAAACAGGAGAGCTGTTTGGACATATCTCGCGCCCCCGATTATGTTTGTACGATATGTGCACGTGTACACAGCGTAATAAGTCCCGGGGGCCGAATGGAGCCGGGATAGACGTCCTGTGTTACGTGACACACCCGGCATGGGATGGAACGGACGGGGGTAAATCTCCTGAGCTGCATTAAGACGCAGAGGTGGGTATCGAATCCCAAATGGTCGCGTTATTCTGCCGTTCGACGGCGGAACGGCCGTCGGGCGAAAATTGAAAGTCAACGGCCGAAATGGCGCGTAAAAGGGAAATGCTGACGGAATAAATACTGGCATCCGCCCATCGAGGCACACATGAATGACGTACCATAAAAATACCACGCAAAATGTCACGCATTGGCAAAATAATTGTTTTACGCCCATCCTGTGATCAGTTAGGCATGGTCATTTAAAACGAATTAAACGAAATTGTATTCGCAAAACAATTTTATGTAACGTTTAGTGGAGTATCGGTATGGATTCACATCCTAATTGTACCGAATATCCTTTGTCTGTATTAGCATTGTTTGTGTGTTATTAAGGTCACTGGTTATTTAACTACATCGGTGGGCTCTTGCAAAATGCGAACGTTAAAAGCAAATTTGATCGGCTGTCCCCGGCGTATAGAACTGCAAAGAATTTATTTAATCCGACTTGTTCCAAAACTGACGCTGTGACTATACAGTTTTGCTAAGAAATTTCGGTTCAAAATATCTCCCAGAACGGTTAGGTTGTTGACCGAAAACAGGCCGTGTTTTGGTTCGCCGAAAGTTCATTATGTTTTATCGATATGCAAAAGCGCTGTTTAGAAGTGGTTTGGGAAAATTGGACTCTTCCCCAATAGTTATAAGTTCTTGAATCGCACGCGTCGGTCAGTTTATGTAAAATTGAACGCGGCTTACCCACCGCCCGTCGAGATGGGACCGCCAAATATTGCGGCCTTTATTTATGTCCACTTGAAGTTTCTCGTAACTATAAGCGAGGTTTTTTTGCGAGAAAAAAACAAGAATATATATACGCGGCTTAGCCGAATAACTTTGCCAGTACCCGAATTCATTTAATCTGAATAAATACATAATTATCATAAATACAACAAAAATATTTAGTTTTCGAAACACAGTAGAATATTCGAGAACATGGCATACTTTATTTATTAATTTATAATTTACACCGTGGTTTACATTTAAAGATTTTATAAATGTTTTCGTTAAAATATTTAGGTATACAATTTTAACGTAAGTAAAACGTAGGTATAATTATATATCTATTAAATATGCCATAATAACCTAAAGAATTGGGCATTTATCATATTGGTTCTAGGAAGGTTACCGAGTCATTTATTCCTATTACGTGTAAAATTTAAATTATTTAAAATCTGGAAAGGGTACTTTAAAGGAAACATTCTGTTCGCTCATACATTTAAGCTAATCCAAATGCGTCAGGAAAAAAATATTAATTATAAAGAAGTTAACCTTAATAATATATAATATAATTTACTCTTAAACTTGATCGTACACAGAATTATTTATTTTTACACGTTACATGAGCTCTGAAAGCCCAGTGTCCGGGCGCTTACTTTTAATTCAATAGGACTCAAGTAGAGCACCCCGAGGTCGATCTGCTGGTGCCGGCACCAATGAAATTGTTAATTCTACGTGCAGAGTTGTACGTGCTCCGCAGTGAAGGAAACACCTGCATATTTTCGAAATAATAAAGAAAATATTTCGAAGGTATGTGAAGTCCGCAATCTGTAGTGGAGCCGCATGGTGGACTATGCCCTGAGACTCTCTGTATAGAAGAGGCCTTTGCCCAGCAGTGGGACATGTATAGGCTGTTACTTTTATTTTTACACGTGGACGTTTACCTGGATCACTACCATTGTTTCAGAAACCGGGCGTAAATATCTGAAGTTTACTAAAATAATAGGTGTTGGGTAAATGATGAAGTGCACGTATCGTACATATACAAAAATGCAAGAAAGATATAATATTAAAATTCAATAACGGTTTCGAAAATTTTACAATATTTTCATGCAACAATGAATGTCTCATGTTCTTTTTATTTAGTTAATATTTGTCATGATTATTATTTCTATTATGGCTTCTATTTTTAATTTTCTTACAACTTGATGTCTAGTATAATTCCTTAATCTATCTTATTACTCTATACCAATTTTATTGCCACATTGCTGCAAACATCGCTTGCATTCGATATCTGTAACTTATGGGTTGCAGCTACCTGACCTTTATACCGGAGGGTGTCAGGTTACCTCACCGACTAAAAGACAGACAATAATGTAAAAACTTGTACTTGTAGATAGTCTACCGGGAACCTATAATAAAACCTATACTAAACCCGGCACGTAATAAAATAGCATAAGCTATGTGCATGTACCACATCAAACCAAACCGTTTTCCGAACCGACGATAATGTTTTGACAATCGACAGGTAAGCAATAATGTTATATACAAATACGAGCTCAAATCACGGCAATCGGTGTAATTAAATTACACCTATTTACACTGATATCTCTTTCCGTATAATATGTTCTATACCATCTGACACATTCACTTAAATGTGTCATATGATGTAAAACGGAACAATTTTTAAACGCCGAGCAGTATGGACATGCGTTATCGGTATAAAAATATCATTGCAGGTAAGCGTAATGCTAATATTTAATAAAGATATTTGTATTATACTTTGAGTCTTACAAATTTGAGACTAATCCGTCTAGAAGACTGAGATGGTCTGCGACCGATGCGAGAACACATTGCTCATATGACGCTGCTTTTGTTATTGCTTATAGTTGCAAGTCAGCGCGGCTAAAAACCATTCAGTGGCTGGGGGCTTAAGAAATGATTAAACTCACCGAATCGCCCCCCTCCCCCCCATCTCCACCCGAGCCCACGTTAATGGCAGACGCGAATACGCCGGAGAGTTAACCTTAAGCCTTTGATCTGTCTCGCGCCTCCGTCTTGATTGCCATACGCGGTAAGGAGCACATTCTCGCCCCGGATTCGGCAAACGCGATCGCTTCCGTGGGTGCGCTTATCTCCACCTCATCAAATAATTGGCCCCCCGACTTAGTATGTATTGTTCGCCAATTGACCAGCGTTATTAACCGAAACTGACTTGATGTACTTTTTATTACGGCTGAAACGGTTTACCGTAATGCAAAGTTTGTATCTCAGTAAAAATGTTTTAAAAATCAACAATCGTCATTTCGTTCGATTTGTAATGTTGAAAGCAATAGATTATTTTGAATAGAAATTGATGATTTATATGGTAGACATTACAATTGCTACGTTCATAATGAGAATGTAAAGATATTTTAACAAATTTAATAGTCTAAACTTACAGATATGCCATAAACTAATCAAAACAAAAATGAAAGAAATAACGTTGTTATATTATATACCTATGGTATATAAGTACTTGTACGTAAATGTTACTGTTAATATATTTAATATATTTGCCATATCCACACCCAGCAGCTCCGTTTATCTTTCGTCATATTAGATTTTCTTATATTATACAGAGTTTTAAGCGAGTCGCGAAGGATTAGAACAATATTTGCCACGCCATATCATGTGACACGTCTCGTATATCCTGCCCTCATAACCTTGTTAGCGTTAAAACACCTAAAGGCGATTAATGCATGACCGTAATTCTCCGAGATTGTCATATATGACACGCTTCTTCCATTTAATTCTTTTCGACGATCACCGAGATCCTCTATTAAGTCAATAAACACTTTGAGGAATGAAATCCCGGCGAATTCCACCATCGGACATCGCGCCAGAACCAAAAATTTCATCCACACCACCTCGATGTCCAAATTCCACAACAGCGCGATTTTTAAGGCATTTCTTGCCTCGCACAACCACTTGTGCAACCAACTGCCGCCGGCGTCTTTCCGAACCGTTACGACCTGGGAACCTTCAAAAAGAGAGCGTACTCTTTTAAAAGGCCGGCAACGCAGCCCTCCTCCATGGGCGACGTAATCACTTACCATCAAGCCTCCTGCTCGCCCCTTTTTCCATAAAAAAAAAAAAAAAGATTATCCAGGTTTAAACTAAGTCTTAACGTATTCGTTATAATTAAAGTAAATAATTGTAAACTAATTAAAGTAAATAATTGTATATAACACAAATTTAATCGTAAACGTGACCAATTACTAATTTTAAATGTCCAAATGTAAAGTCTGGAAATATTTGATTAATGTACTGCTCGATATGTTCACTCTGCGTGCATTTCTCAAATAAGTACATTTATTCTTGGTGTGGAAAGCAGGAGTG